ATAAGCTGCACGCGAATATCGCTTCAGTCGAAAGTTTCTGATGTAATGGCGCTCGAAAGCGACTTGCATAGAGTCCGGCTCTGCCCCTTCTGGTGGGCTAGAGCGCCATTGGTATGTGCAGCTACACCAATGTGAACAAATCAGGCTTCAGTAACAGTAAACTGCATACTGCGTTCTACGCAAAGCTTGTTCCCTTATCTCGGGGAACCGAGGTTAGGTCAGTATCCGGAGCATTTTCTATCCTTTGTTTAGAATCAGAATGCAATTTGATTGTAATTTGTGATTGATTTTGAGCTGATTTCTGAGTTATATGACTCGTTTTTTAGTTGGGCTGAATTTCAAAATGTGCCCGAGGCAATTTAAAGAAGCGGGTAGTAACTGAGAGATAGAATGGCCTCATACGTCTCCACATACTGTCTGTGTCTGTAATTCTCTCTTCTAGCTCACTGTCAGGAAACTTCAGTCTCCATTAATAACATGAATGTGTGTTCTTCTCATTTGCTCTGTATGGTGTGAAACCGCCTGCTTGCCGCTGACATTTAGAAATAGAAACGGACTGTTCCAGTGAAAATTGTGCAATAAGGTAGGCATTATTGCTGAATGTTATGGGAAGTATAAGAACCATTGCTTTGCACGCTGTAGTGTGATGCCAGAGTATTTATCTGCTTGTGCATCCTGAATAAACTCTGAAGACTTTCTGTATCACATCAGAACATCACTCGTTAGCTCTTTTTTATTGATATTGCTGTCTGATTTTTTGCTACTTGAACAATGTTGAACCAAGAAAGCCACGCTGAAAGTATGAACTCAAGTTAAGAAATCAGATCAGATATCCTGAAACAGAAACTCACAACTGTAAACGCGACATGTCCTGATTGGCTGATAATCTGATGGTGTAAACCACGGTGTAAACGCATGATCTCACAAATCCATGGCCTAATAACAATCAACTGTATCCTAAACATCATAAGACATCACATCCAGTGGAATAATTCAGCTTTATATTGCATTGTAATGGCTACTATTGTCACATGTGTTTGGGTTATAAAAAGAGTTGCATGTAATTGAAATGATCAAAGTGTCTAGTTACACTAAGTGCAAATAGCCCGCCTTGTTGGCTGAGGCTGTTTACACCAACTCCACCCACCAAAGTGTGATTGGGATAGTCAACACTACAAAAGACACATGATAAATATAAGTTCCAGTGGCATAGATGATAATACACGTGCTTTCTGATGCGATCGACCTGAGTTTGATCCTGCCTTTTGCCGAACTTTTTCCTCCTTTTTCAAACCTCATATTACATCGTAAAGGCATTTATTTTCAATAAAAATTAAGGAAATAATCAAAAAAGTTCAAAATAAGTATCGGGTAGGGTTAGGGTAGGTGAAGGGAGGGCTTTATTTTCCTAATAAGGTGGCATCCATTTAATAATTTGGATTAAAATTATAATTTACACTCAATACGTTATTACTGCATACTGTTTTATAATGTACTACAATACTGAGGTGCACTGCAGATAATTGCCACTATTTAAATGGAAATCTCTATGAAGAATTTCACACAGCACAGAAACTGCACTTGTTAAAATTACAAATGACTTGCTTCTTGCGTCAGACCAAGGCTGTATCTCATTGCTAGT